ACCCCCTATAACTGTCGCTTGCTTTTCGCGGACGCTTTTATCTCTGACGATGAACTCCCGCAAGAGCCCGAAATCTCAGTATAATAAACAACTTGATCCAGTGCTCGACCTTCCTTCTTCCTCAAATATTCTAGCATGTTTAGAGAAGGGCCAAATAAAGAGCATTGACAGTACCATTATAGAGCACATTGTAGACTCAGATAATCACGTGCCCTCAGGTAATTCAAAATTCCTTGAATAGCATCTGTTGGCTACCGCAGAAGCGCCTGTTATCAGGTTACGCGAACCGGTCCAGTGCGCCCAAAAGAAATTCGTAAAGGTGCCGCGGTTACCATGGCCGAAATTCGCCAACGCAGCCGCCTACGGCTTATTAACTTTCCCGACGGCTAATTCTTCCCTGACGCTGATGAAATTGCAGACTCTTATTTTTCTCCAGCCTGACCTTGACAACTGCACGATTTTTCTCCCCAGCCCGCATATTTTATTAAGTTATGTACAGCATGAACGTTTCCCAATTTATCTTTTGAAATTTTCAGTGGGAATTTTCGCAAATAAATATATCCATTTCAAGGGAAGGCGTCCTTTGGGAAAATGAGTAAATTTATTTAGTAAATTTTCGACACTGGATCCCCAGGTCGTCGTCAGACTTGAGAAAAATGTGTACCCATCTTCTGAATATAGCATATAAAGGCGTGAGTTTCTGCCCAATGAATACAAGGACGACTGATTTTATTTACATATCTTATATATTAGATGTAAATGCACAAGGCCATCGAAATGCATATTACTTAAGTTGTCACTGTTTTAACCGAATACGACTTTTGTGGGCAGACAAAAACTCGGCATCCTACCATGTCCGAAATAGTTTCGCAGTAGTCTACACGAGAGTTGATTTTAAAATCCTACTCAGGTAGTCCTGCCCACTAGTTAACGCATTTTACAATTTTGCGTCATTTGTTCGAAGCGCAATGAAATTTCAGAATTTCTGTTGATATTTCAGGCGTTTGGGAAAATACTGCCACCACTATCACTGGTACTGCTACAACCGCTGATACTAATAATTATACCCAAAGTTAGACCGAGATATTTAATGAGGTTGTGGTGGTCGTTGCCTGCCCGATACCTGGCCTTTCTGTCCTGAGCTCAATCCGTCTAGACCTCAAGGTCGTTGCGGTCGCCAAATTTACTGGCGCGCGAGACACAGGCCACCCACGTTGATTTCTACCCACACGGTGTCCAACCAATCACAGGCCGACCTAGCCAATAAACGCTCTCTCTCTCTGTCTGTCTACTGGCCTGACTGCTCTCAAACTGGCACTTGGGACCGGGTCAATCTCCTTGGTGGTCGTGTTCTCCCAAGTCAGACTTCTTCCACCTACTCTCCTTTCCTCTGTGTACACAATATACTCTTCCTGACACTCTGGCCTCCACTGACTTCTCCACTAAGTAACCATGGTCTGAAGATCGCAGTTGCTGAGTTTAACTAACTTAACCCCCTGCGATAAGGTCCACACTTGTGCGTAAACAACATTTAAGCGGTAGCAGACTCTTGCGCCGCATCTACCGCACTCTCTCTTCACCCCATCTGTGTTTGATGACAGGAGGTGGGATTGGGTGCAGGTATGGCGTGAGCCTGCACTAACAACCACTAACGCTCCTCCCCCCATGTTCGCCATTTGTTATGGGAGCGCATCCCGAATAATCTCTGCCATGCACCTAATATAACTGTCGCTCCGCAGCCTCCCAAAAGTGAAAAGAAAGCTGACTCAACTTGTACAGCATTTCTTTTGCACAGATACCAACGGGAGTTTATACACAGAGGGCAAAAGCGGGGAGGTAGGGAGAGAGCCAAACAAAATAGAACGTCGTCGTCCAGCTCCTCCTCAAAGTTTCGACAGCTTCTTCTTCTGCTTCTGAGTGAACTTCTTCTTCGTCTTCTGCATAGACTTATTCAGCTTTTTGACCCGCGAAGCCGAGGCCTTGTGCGTGAGGACACGCACCCCCTGGTCCATCGAACGAGTGGACTCCGAATCGTTGCGTTTAGAACGCTTCTTCTGACCCCCATGGCCGTACTTCTGGTTCTTGAAGGCGCGTTTGTGGTTGACTCTGGAGTGGAAGGGGAAAAGCATGGAAATTAGAGTGTTTTTAAAGACTGCCAGGAAGACATTGTAACGGGACTTTTAAAACAGGAAAAACGTAACAAAAAGATTGGCTTGAAGACAATGACAGGAACCTAATTAGGTGTAGCATAGATAGCTAACAGAAGATGAACCGATATGACATGCGGTAATACATTACCATTGGGAAGGGATTTGGTGCGGTGCGGGATTTTGGATGCCACTACTGAAGGCTTCTAGTTCCCGTAACATCTGATCTTTGAA